ATCTGTGTCTAAATAAAATACAAAATAGGGCTGGGGTACTTACTGGCTCAGTGGTTGAGTGCCCTGAGTTCAATCCCCGAACCCCCTTAAAAAAGAATATATTATAGATAAAAATTTAGGCCCCTAATCTCTCCCTCTTGTGTTCCATTTGTTTCCCACTTCCCTTATAAGCACTATTCTTATCTTGATGTTTACATTATGCATGTCTTAATGCTATTTCATATTTATATATTGCTTTACTTTGTAGACTAAACATATGGAGATATGAATATACTCAAAACATCTGGATTGTATGTGTTAAAGTGGATAAACACGTACACTTTATGTATATTTTAACAATTTAAAATTTTCCCAATTTTAACAATTGGTAAAATACCAATGTAAATGGACATTATGTGATACTTTTTATGAAAACTTCAATTCAACTCTCTTAGGCTGAATTATCCACTCTTTAGAACTCTTTGTATACCTAGTACAGACTACTCTCACCCTCAAGCCTTTATGGTCATATGTTTCCTGTCATTAACTCTTCAATAAATAGCCCCTTGACCCCAAAGATCCACATATCTTTTTTTGTTACATTAAGCTAGTGAGAATTCTATGTGCTCAATGTCTGTGGAAGGGAGGAAGGAGATAAGGAGGTTGAAATTGAGGAAAGGAAGACTCTAAGACTAAACTCATAAGCTTCTCAAAATGTGAACAATGAAAGTCACACAGGGTGGTAGTAAAAGAAGGAGGGGAAAGACCTTCGAGGGAAACTGGATGAGTGAGCAAGATGATGTTGGCCCTGGGAGGTGAACTGGCAACATAGGAAGAGTCAACAAGAAGGATGAGTCCAACCACCTTCAAAGAGGTTGACCTGCAGGGAGAATTTTAATGACACTTGCAGAGGAAATTCAGAGAGCACAGTGAGGTGGGATGGAGAGGACTTGGTTAAATCAAGATCTGGTGAACACTTTAACTTTTGGTAAAATGGCTTCAGTGCTGGAAATAGCTCCATGAGAGTTGACTCCTCTCTTAGATATGCCTTGGATGACGTATGGGGGGAAGATCCTCAGGAACATGGCCACCCCCACCAGCCATAGTACTTATCAAGTGCTTGCTTCATCTCATGCATTCTGGAACAACCCTGTGAGGTCTTGTAATAACATCTCCCTCAATTTATAACTGAAGACAGCCAGACTTATGGTGATTAAGTGACATTCCCAGCCCCCACCCTCACCCTCCATGTTGCTCCTTATGCCAGCCAACTTGCTAGAACGAGCCACCTTGCCAGGATATTTTAGAATAACATGCTAAAACCAATCTGGTTCCCAGGGACATCAGAACAGCTTTCTGATTGTCTGAACACTATTGATTGATATAGACTTCCCAGTGACTCACTGCCCTCTGCCACTCCTCGAGACCCAGAAATTTCCCCAAAACCATCCTGGGAGTCACAGGGGTCCTGCTGCCTCGACACTGCAGATAGGAGTTAATGATAAAAGAAGTTAATTATAAAATGCATGAAGTAATAGATAAAATAGGGGAAAATACAGTAAGAAGAGGCCTAGGGAGAGAAAAATGAATGCCTTCCGTTTAGGAAGCAGAATACTCCCTGAGATGTCCTCAGAGTCAATCTCAGTCTTCTAGTCAACATACCTACTTTCAACCTGGGCCCAGATGTTATGATGGAAGAAGAGGAAGATATGGATAACAAGAACATTTATTAGGAAAATATAAAACCATGCTAATTTAAAAATATGGCTAGGGAAACAATTAAAATTCTGGGTATATAGGGTTTCCTAACTAGAAGGATTCTTCAGTCTGCAAGATGCTGGTGGCCACCTGGACTGTGTCTAAAAGAGAATGACTCCCACAGCCACAAAACCAAAGTTGCAACCATGCCAGGCAGAGAGCAGTCAGTAAGGCAGAGCCAGTGCTGCTAGAACAAAAGAGCCCAAGAGCCACAGAGATATTCAACAAAGGAAGCAGAATGGTGCAACACCTCTGAGCTCCTCCAGCTACAGGCTTCCTGCCTGGGGAGACTGTGGATTTTGGGGCCTGTGATTTTGAATAACTTACTCACTCTATACTTACATTTCCTTCTGCAGTAAAATACCAGTATCAATATTTACTTAATTTCCCTAAAAATGCTAAGGGGAAATGAATAGTCCTACCTAATGCACAGTAAGTGCTCAATAAATGTTAGGACTCATTTCATAATAGTGGCTGCCATTTATTGGTTACTTACTTTAGACCAGATGTAATAATTTTAGGTCTGAGTTCAAAGACCATGTTCTTTTTTTTTTAACCATATCTCTTGTTATTCAAAGGCTGGGAGAGGTGAAAGGAAGAGGGAGAGAGAGCTGAGAGGTGGAGTTGGGGGGAGGTTCTTAATAAAAGTCTAAGGCCATAAAACATATTCCTAGTTTCTTTGAAAAGTTGGGTCAAATAAGAATGTTTGGAGATAAGATTAGAGTCAGCTTGACACCAAATAATAGTAGACCTTGAGTGGCAGGGTATGGAATAAGTGTTGAAGGAACAGGTTCATCTTTTTAAATTGGAAAGATTTCAAAGAATAAAATGTCTGAAAAGACTTGTTATTCATCGTAGTAACAGTTAGGAGACTTACCCAAAACATGAACATCAAGGAAACTGATTTTGACATACATACATACATACATACATACATACATACATACATGTACAACACCCACTCCCTGAAAAAAAAAAAAAAAAAGATATCTCATTTAAAAAGCAATGTTAAGCCCAGGAGGAGCAATATCCTGTGCTATATCTGTAAAGAATGCAGACAGGAGCCATATGGAATCTTTCCTAGCACTTTGTTATTATTGTTGTTGTTGTTTTGTTTTGTTTTGGTTTTTTTTTTTTTGTTGTTTTTTAGTATCAGGGATTGAACTGAGGGGCACTTAACCACTGAGCCACAACCCCAGCCCTTTTTTGTATTTTACTTTATACAGGGTTTCATTGAGTTGCTTAAGGCCTCACTAAATTGCTGAGGGTGTCTTTGAACTCATGATTCTCCTGCCTCGGCCTCCTGAGCCCCTGAGATTACAGGTATTAACACCATACCTGGCTTTTGCTAGCAGCTTATAAACTCATCTGTTCTATATCTATCTGTTATCATTCATTTATTTCCAGGTGAAAAGTTGATCAGAATGGGTGACAGCACCAGGGCAACAGAAGAAAGAAAACACTAAGGTCGTGAGAGTAGTTTGACGTAATTTTAACGTGTAAATTTATATTTTCTTATTTTGCTTTATCTTTACATTATGGTCTCTTAAAGGAAAAACATGGAAATTGGTTTATTAAATATCATGAAGCATTCATATTTCATATTTCTATCATGTATTTTATTTGTGAGCTCGTTGGTTTCCTGAGCACACTGTAGTGGTTGTTTATGTGAATTCTGAAAGAGCAAAAGTAGAACTTCAGAGGAGACCAAAAATAACAAAGAGGCACCCTGTTGCCCTGTGAAAAAACACTGGACTTAAATCAGAAACATGGGCCCCAGGCCTAGTTTTCTCTTATGTAGCTGTGGAAACTTATTCAGGTTGCTTAACCTCTCTTTGTTTTGTCCCTGCAACGGGGATGTCAATACCTACCCTGTTCTATCTTACAAAGTGCATATATAAATAAATTGAACTAATGTAAGTGGAAGAACATCATAAATTTAAGTCCTTTGCAAAAATGAATTATTCTTGTCCTGCTACAAAACAGCCTGGTATTACCAATACAAAGAATTTTAATACTTGAACATATTTGAAATTCTGGGTGATTAAGCATGAAATCAAATCAGATTTGGCTCAGAGTCATTTCTCCAAAGGCATGTGATCATCTTAGTATTCTGGGTAATTTCTTCTAATAGAACCCCTTTTCACACAACACACTCCAGTCGAGAGGATTGCTGTCAGTAAATGAGGCCATGTCTTTATAAATTCATATCATGTGGTTAAAATTTATAGTATGTCCCAAGACATTTTCGTGCATTAAAGGGATTTGAAAATTACTAACAGTTGCTTTTCCTTTGGTACTTTGGCAAGGTTCCTAAGGAAATTGACAGAGAATAACCAATAACATCATGAGAAAGAAACTAAGGGATGTTTCAAAGTAGCTTTTCAAGACCCAGTGATCACCGACTGGGTCCCTGTGTCTCTTACCATGTAAAAGCAATTCAAAAGAAAGGGTGCTGGCTCAAGAAGAGGCTCTAAGTATCTGCCTTTGATTGTTGATAGGAAACTCAATGCCCTCAGATCATGAAAAGTGCCTGGATTTACTTCAGAATTTTTTTTAATGACAGTGGAAACAAATATCAAATGAGCCACTTTTTAATTTTTTTATTTTGGATGATTAGAACTTTACAAACTATTTTTATCATTGCAAGTGATCATGAAAGCCCTATTGGGTGGCATTCTAGCTGAAGGGAAAAAGGACTTTTTGTACTGGTAGGAGATGCCAATTTATTATTGTACTTAGACCTACTGACCATCTGAGGGAGTTAGAAGTTAACAACTGTATCTCTGGTTGATCTTTGCATATTTTAATCCAAATATGGTAAAGGACAGGGCTACAGATGGGAGTGTCCACATAATAATAAAGGGCTCAGAACTTGTAACAGAAAATGTTTAAAGTCCTCCACTCAAGGGAACTCTGTACTTTGTACTTTGTTGTTTTTTTTTTATTGGTTGTTCAAAACATTATAAAGCTCTTGACATATCATATTTCATACATTAGATTCAAGTTGGTTATGAACTCCCAATTTTACCCCAAATACAGATTGCAGAATCACATCGGTTACACATCCACATTTTTACATAATGCCCTATTAGTAACTGTTGTATTCTGCTACCTTTCCTATCCTCTACCATCCCCCCTCCCTCCCCTCCCATCTTCTCTCTCTACCCCATCCACTGCAATTCATATCTCTCCTTGTATACAAAATTACATATAAGAGGTTGTGAGGGGAATGGGAAAATGTACTTTGTACTTTGGTTAAATTGTCTTTTAAATTTAAATTTCTAAACTTTTCTTAGGACATTAAGCTTCCTTTGATCTCTTCTCTTCTGAATTGCAGAAATCAGATAAAACTATTGGTAAAATGACCTCTTGTCACATTACTGAAGAACCTATAAAAAAGATTGCTATCTTTGGAGGAACTCATGGGAACGAGCTAACGGGAGTATTTCTAGTTAAGCACTGGCTGGAGAATGATGCTGAGATTCAGAGAACAGGGATGGAAGTAAAACCATTTATTACCAACCCAAGAGCGGTGAAGAAGTGTACCAGATATATTGACTGTGATCTGAATCGTGTTTTTGACCTTGAAAATCTTGGGTAAGAATATGTTTTATATAGTGTGCATACGTGTATGTATGTGTGTGTGATAAATATTAATGTTTGTACATATAGTGTCTATAATGAGTAAGATGGCTTTCACTTTTAATCACACTGCGTTGTGAATTACACAATTGTGGAAACCGGGCATTCATATCTCTTTTAAATACTTTTTTAAGTACCACATTATTTGATTTTTCTCTTCAAATATATCCTATACAGGCTGCAAACATATATAAGAAAGGTTTTATTTTTAAATCATATCTTGGAAGACAGATTTAATAATCCTTTGCATTAAGTTAGTGTTTGGCCACTATGTTTGTATACCCATTTGTTAACTGTGTGGGAAATTCACTACAATGTTTTTTTGCAACTATGTTTATGGTAGCACATAAAGTTCTAGTTAAGAAAAATATGATGTTCCAATTAATATTTGTTGAATCAAAGAGTGAATAAGTATCCATTTTCAGAAAACATCAGACCACTCTGCAGCCTAAAGAATAGATGTGTTTACCTTCATTCATGCACATATGCACACTATACAAAACATTTAGGGCTGGTGAGGTGGCTTCATGATGTCATCAGGGCAATAGGTTGCTTCTCTCTTCCCCCTGTGCTTGTCTTCACATGTACATTTTTGTACTCATGGTTTTTGCTTCATAACTGCAAAATGGCTAGTCCACCTTCTTGATTGCATTCCAGACAGGAAACACTCAGGTACAAACTGTAGGTCCCTTAAAGATACTAGTAAAAATAGCCAGGAATAGAAAGAGATGGAATTACATGAAAATGTGATTGAATGATTTAATGAGAAAAAATAAATTTAAAACATTATCATGTACAGCAAGCAAAAATGTATCCTAACTATTTCAGGAAGTGAGAGGTTAGATTAAGACCCATCTAAGAATATAATGATATCTTTTAACATTTGTCTCACAAAAAATAGATATACATGAACCTGTAAATTTTTGTATTTTTGGAGCATTTACAGACTCTTATCTGTAAACCTTGTCCCTGGACCACTGATGACCGTTGGGCCTCAATTAAAAATACCTAATGATGATGTGAGCACCTAAGTTTGACTCTGTTTCAAGAACTTAAATTACCCAGAGTGAAGACTGTGGGGGAAGATGCACTTAATGATCTATCCCGGTAATAAATAACAAGTGCACCATAACTACAAAAAAAACTATAAATAAGATTAAATGAAAAGTTTTGTTCAAGGTTGAAGTCAAATGGTAAATTCTGTTTGAACTGCCCTACCTGTGACTAGACACATAAATGAACACATTATTTTACAAGAATACCAATGAAATATTAGTTATGTGAAATCAAATAAGAAAAAATATTTTTCATTTTTAAAACGTTTAGATGTTTTAAATCCCCTCAGGAATTTTCCAAATCAAAGGTTTGGCAACTGGTTCTTTGTACACTGTATTCTTATTGATTATATATGTTATCATAGCCACAAATATTGTTAATCTTTCTCTTTCTGCTAATAATAGCAAAAAGATGTCAGAGGATTTGCCATATGAAGTGAAAAGGGCTCAAGAAATAAATCATTTATTTGGTCCAAAAAATAGTGAAGATTCCTATGACATCATTTTTGACCTTCACAACACAACTTCTAACATGGGGTGCACCCTTATTCTTGAAGATTCCAGGAATGACTTTTTAATTCAGATGTTTCATTATATTAAGGTAATGTCAATGTTATTAATTTATAAGTTTACATAAGTCAATTATAGGTGAGAAACAACTAGAACAGGGTCAGGAAGGAAGGTCCAAGAGAAATGGGATCTATTCCCCAGTCAGGCTGGGAGGCTAGATGGGAGAGGCTGTACCCAGATTCAGAGGTAGGTGGTAGTGACAGGCAGGAGAAAGGAGAAACAAGGAAAATAACAAATACAAGGAATAAAATAATAAGACCTTGTGGATTTTTGTGCCTATAAAATTATAAATTTTATTCCAACAGCCACCAATTCATAAGCTATTGAACAAAAAAACAAATAAAATGAATATAAGAGTTTTAAATGTTATGGTTGAAATATCAAAATTACAGGGTTTTAGGAAGCTCAAAATATTGTCATGTCCAGTGGTGAAGACATTGTCTCCCTTTAGTCCTGCCCTTGTCACCATTTGATTGGGATTACCCAAAACACACCCAATCTTTTGTCATATAGTTCATAAAGCTAATCATTTTAACACTCAGGAATCCGTGAGATTAAAAATTCAGGCTTCCAGTGCCTTTAACTAAAGAAAAAAAATTCTAGAAAATAGCAAATAAGCAAAAACACAAATAATGGATTTTGTATTTGATTTTATATAATAGATGTTCTTCCTTCCTGAGAGCTAACATGATTTAGTAGGAAAAATTTGATCCATGTAGCCAGAAGCTGGGTTTAAATCTTAGCTTTCTCCTTCACTAACCTTAACAAGAAGTTCAACTCTCAAAACAGCTTTCTTCATTTTATAAAATTGGCATGAGAATACTAACCCCATATGGCTGCGCAAGTCTTTAAATGAGAAAAAATATTCAAGGTATTTAGACTAATGTCTACCCTGTGGTGAGGGTTAACTATTACTTTTGTTCCCCTTGAGTTCTGAACATTAAGTAGGTAGTGGCTGTGGTGGGAGATCCTTATGCAGCTGTTCTGTGTTGCTTATTCAGGAGAGCTGAATGTTTCTATTGCCAGACATGGAAGCCTCAAGGTTGATTCCTGGTTATCAAAACCAATAGCCCTGACTCAAATTTCCATTCAAATAGAAGGATGAAAGGGGAATCGCCTGACATTAATAGAACCTGAATTACAGGGTCAGAAACAGAGCTCTTTAAGAAACTAAGTAAGCTAAATAGTAAGGATAAGCAATGATGAAAACAAAAATAACCAAATCCATTCAGATGGAAAATTTATTTCCTATTCTTTGGTCATGGCTCTGGAGAATTATTTAATGTCCATTTTACCCAGAAAACTGCATGTAATTCAATTTTACATGCAATTTATTTGTATGTTTTCAAAGCTATAACATTGAGTTTTAGAGTGTTTCATAAAACTATCTGACTAATCTTAGTTGATGAAGTAAAAAAAATATGAAGTCCTTATTGACTCCATAGCAGCAAAGAGAAAAAAAATATATGGTCTTTACATAATAAGGAAGATGTTTTAAAAATTCTTTGCAGACTTCTTTGGCTCCATTACCCTGCTATGTTTATCTCATTGAGCATCCTTCCCTCCAGTACGCAACCTCGCGTTCCGTAGCCAAGTATCCTGTTGGTAAGTCTGTTGGCATAGCTGAATAAAATGTGTCCTACCTGAAACTCCAAGAAAAATTAAAGAATATTTATAGCTACCTTGCATATCCTTAAGGCTTATAATTATCAGATAATAAGCAAATTAACCCCAGGCAGACACTATACTTTATTTCCTCAATATCTTGGAGCAGCTTTCTGGTTCTATTCATATTATTTTCTTCACTGTTATGTTTGACCCTAAAAAAATCAGTCTGACAGATTCTTCTAATCCCAAGAATTAAGTGAAGAGTCACCTTTTATAGAACCTTATCTCTAACTCCACTCCACAAAATTGCTCTAAAAATGTGAACTTTCAACAGATATTTATTGTGTGTCTACTAGAGCCCCATCACTGTGCTAGGTTCTGGGAAAATAGTAATGAACAAGGCACACAGAATCCCTCAAAGAGCTTAGTATCTAATGAGAAGACAGACATTAACCAGGTCATCACTGCACAGAGGGAGAAATGGCAGAGTAGAAGTAATTCATTCTCTTTCAAGTGAGATACACTAACATAATTAACTATTTGCAAATTATACTATAATTAAAATTTCTATTACAACTTAAGTGGTTTTTGTTAGATCTTAGATGCTTTAACCAAGAGTAAATTTAAGAGCAAGTTTGCAAATAACATAAGCAAATGAAAACTTAACAATTATCCTGGTTACTCAAGTATTGGTACTTTTGACACATAATTAAAGAAATTAGTTAATTATTAATTATAACTGGAGAAAGCTAAATATCCAAATATAGGCACAGAATTGCAATAAATGTAATAAACCAAAACCTTACTGTATGAAATAGGGTTGAGTGCAGCTCAGTGATACAGTGTTTGCCTACCATGTGTAAGTCCCAGGGTTCCATCCCTGGCACCATAAAATAATAATAATAATAATAATAATAGATCATGGGTTATATTTAGTACCAAATAAAAGTGTAAGACTTCTAAACTTTGAGATATTAGCCTTATAATATGATATTTATGGGCAATGCTGTTTTAGCTAGAACAAATATCTCTGATAAGTTTGACCCTTACAAATAAAGCCAAATCTTTAAAACATTTCAATATGAGGGAGTATTAATTACATTTTAAATAATTAGAAAATATTAATATGTTCTTCCAACTTTGCTCTTTTATATTTGAAATCTATTATGTCATATACATGTTGGCAGCTAATGACAATATCTAATAGAGGAAGGAAACATCAGGAACTCCCCTACTAATCTTTCATTATGGCCCCTTTGTCAGAACTGAATAACATGTACATTCTTAAATCATCAGGATGGTTGGATTACTATAAGTGAATTAAACTTTTGATATTTACTCTTAAGCTGAAGAAAAGTTAATTTATCTTAAAGATTGGATAATCAACCAAAATTTGATTGTATTAGAATGGAGGAAAATGGAATGCAACAACAATATCTTCCACAAAATGCACACAGACATATCCATGAACACAATTTTCATACATTTGTACAAATCATTCATGCACAGAGGCATGCCTTAGCCCCACTTATGATATCATATACTTAAATGAATTCCTATAAATACACACAAGTAAGTTACACACAGTACAACATAATGAACTTTTTGAATTGGAAAATAATAGAAATGGGTGCAAATAAGATGGGTTAAAAGAATATATTTGAGTTGAGTGTAAGAGAATGAATGTGGGTGATACATTAATAAACAGTTTGATAAATGGAGAAAATAATAACTGGAGGGATGACTCTGTGGGAGACTTGAGCAGGTGGAGGAGTATTTTGCAGGTGTAAGGATGGATGCTTGACAGCTACAGGAAACAGACCTGGAAGTACAAGCATAGTTTTATGAAGGTTAGAGGAAATACAAATTTTTCTACAGAAAATAAGAACCATTGCATTATCTTATCAGAATGGGTTAATATTAAGTATAAAAATGTTGCCCTAAAGTCACATAGATTGCATGTTAACTTAAATTCATAGTTCATCTAGCTATATTTCTATGACTAACTAGATGTCTTTCCTCCTGTTAGAGCTAAATGTTAGTCTGTGACCATCTCTCTTTGTGGCCACCTATTACTTTGTCATTGCAGGTTTATCTACTTCTTTTGCTATGTTACAATACTTAAATATTTGAATCACATGAAAGTAAATTTAAAGAAAAAATAACCCTAAGTTCCGACTACTCAAACACAAGTCTGATTTTTTCCATGTTCTCTTCCAGTCTTTATTCACTATGCATTTATCACTATGTGTATTTAAACGTGTAAATGTTCTGCTTTATTTTTTGCTTAACTTTCTGTCTCAAATACTTTCCATGATGCTAACTGGTCTAACTTTTAAATATTTATGGGGTTCTAGATATAATAAAATGCTTAATTTCACAATACATTCTAATACTTATATAATATTACTATCTTCCCTTCTGTACTTAGGTATTGAAGTTGGCCCCCAACCCCAAGGTGTTCTGAGAGCTGATATTTTGGATCAAATGAGAAAAATGATTAAACATGCTCTTGATTTTATATATCAGTTTAATGAAGGTAAGTGGTGGGTAAGAGTTGTTTCCTTAATTGTGGATATTTGCATATTTAGCTGTGTGTTAGTCAGGTTTGCATTATTATGACCAAAATATCTGACAAGGACAACTTAAAGAAGGAAATTTTTATTTTGGATTATGTTCTCAAAGGTTTAGTCCATGGTTGGCTGGGTCCATTGCTCTGGGCCAAGGTGAGGCAGACATCATGGCGGAAGGGCATAGTGAAGGGAAGCAGCTCAGAACATGGCAGCTGAGAAGCAGAGAGAGGGAAGGGGCAATCCCAGTGACCAACCTCTTCCAGCCACTCCCCATCTGCCTATAGTTACCACCATTCAAGCTAGAATAGACTGATTCAGCACTCATAATCAAATAATTTCATTTCTGAATATTCCTGCATTAACATAGGAGCTTTTGGGGGATACCTCATATCCAAACCATAACAATACTATACATACATTACATAGTACATATATAGTGCATATATATGTATATATGTACCAACGTACAACACTTTAACCATGTGTGTGTGTGTGTGTGTGTGTGTATATAAAACTTAACCACTTAACATTGAAATAGTAATTGAAATTTAGGTCAAATTCATCATTCTCATAATCTTAGATGCGTTTTCAAATTTTTTTTATTCACTTCAGCTATTCCTCAATCACCAGAATAGAAAAACATACAAGAAAAACAGTGGCCATATAAACCACCCAAATCAAATCCTATTTTCCTATTAATCTCCATTTTAAAAAACCAAAGACAGAGTAGGAAATACAAATGCCCAATAAAAGTAGAAAAGATGTTCAACATCACAAGTAATCAGAAAAATGCAAATTAGAATGAGAAACCATTTTCCCCATCAGATTGGACAAAATAGCATCTGACGATATTAAGTATTGGTAAAGGTATAGGAAAAGGAGATACTCTCATTCCCTGCTGACAAACATTTGAATTGGTAAAGACACTTTAAAGGGTAATTTTATAGTATCTGCTGTATCTACTTATTAAATTGTGTAATTCTTATAACCCAGCAGTTCCACATCTCAAAGAAACACAAGCTCATGAATACCCAATGGGTTGTATTCAAGGGTGGTTATTATAGCTTTGTTCGCAAAGGAACTGACTCAAATGTGCATCCGTTGGTGAACAGTTAAACAATAATAACATGGAAGAATCTTCAAAACACACTATTGTTTAAAAGAAAGAAAACTGTAGACAAAAATATATGATATAAACATTTACTTTAAAATAATATTAATCACTTGCTAGAATGCATATAAGTATGAAATTGTTGACAAACACGTAATTATGGTGACACAGCTACTGAGTCATTCAATGTCTGTGGGGAACATAATTCCTTAGCCTCAGATGTGCAGCCCCCTGTGATCGCAGGAACTTCTTCTCTATTTGGGAATACTTTGGCTCCAAAGTCATGAAAATTGAAAATGAGCTAGATGTCCACCAACTTTGTATGAGGGCAGGTTCTCTACTCTCTAATGGAACTGGTATTGGGAAGGTCATAACATATTCACAAGAAATTCTCAGAAAGTAAGTGTGGAACTCTAATATGTTAAGAAATGATATCCCCAGGGAGAATGCCACAAACCTGAGTGGAATGGTAACTCAAAGACACTCGGCTCTCTGTTTTCGCACCCATCAGTCACCCCCATCTCTTGAATCTGGGTTGCCCCAGTAGCTTGTTTTTGTGCCACAAAGGGGCTTGAAAAAGACTATGTATTGGGACTTGCCCTTTTGTGGCTTTTGGGAACCCTGTGTGGCTATTATGTGAGTCAGTCCACACTAATCTGATGGATATGAAAAGGTTATAGAATAGAAGACTAAGATAGCCCAGCCACCAGTCATGCAGCTCCAGCTCGAGCCTTCAGACTGTCAATTGCCAGACATTAGATTGAGGCCATCCCAGATTACCCAGCCACCAGATGATTTGCCAGCTCACCCCAGATGCATGAGCAAAACAAACAGAAACCAGCAAAGAGAGTCCAGACTAGAGGAACTGCCTAACCAACCCACAGAACTACAAGCTAAAAAGAAAAAAAAAAAGAAGAAGAAGGTTGTTGCTTTAAGCCATTAGTTCTGGGAAAGTGTGCTATGCAGCAAAAGCTAGCTGACACAGGATTGATCTCAGGATCTCCTCATCCCAACTCTGCTCTAAAGGCAAAGGAGGACTTTTCCTTTAAGATGAAACCATAACATCCTGTGGATACACCATTGGACATATGTTCATCCTGTTTGCTCAGAGACCACGTGGTATCTGTGTAAACTACTCCTTTTCCAATTTATGGGCATTGAGCTGAGCTATTTAATGTCATCTCTTTGAAAGCTGGTAGACTGCCTGCATCCCAAGATTTCACTGCTCAGGGGCCATCTAAGTGTTTAATGAACTTGATTAAGAGAAAGAGCCACTAGACAGAAGCCACCTAACTTGCTGAAAGTCCCCCCTGAGAATATGCAATCACTGAGTGTCAGAGCTGGAAGAGTCTTTCAAGATAAGCTAATCCAAAACCCTCTTTTGACAAGATTGCTCAAAATAACACAGCTAGGAAAAAAGAAAGATGGCATAGTCAGCAGAACAGAGCCCAGGGTCCTGACTGGCAGATCTAGGCTTTTTTTCTCCCACACTGGCTTCTTTAAGTTATGTTTTCTACCTTTGTTCATCAGTGCAATGATAGGAATAATTCCAGAATTTGGGGCTTTATATTGTTTATGAACATCTTTAAGTTACTTAATGTGTTCTCCTTGTAACGGTCTTCATTTTGTTGTTTTTCCTTCCTTCCTTCCTTGAAATATTGACGTCCCTTTTTTAATTGCTATAATATGTATTATTTTTGTTGTAGGAAAAGAATTTCCTCCCTGTGCCATTGAGGTCTATAAAATAATGGAGAAAGTTGATTATCCTAGGAATGAAAATGGAGAAATAGCTGCTATTATCCACCCGAATCTGCAGGTAACATTTGTTGTTTCTTTAAAATAATGAGAATATTTTAATAATGTTGTACCTTTGAGTAGTAGTTCACAGTTCATACAGCATTTTTACATACATTAGCTAATTTGATGTTCACAAAACCACTGCAGCATAGAGAAGTGTATTAGTTAGCTTTCCATCACTAAAATAAAATGCCTGATACAATTAATTTATAAGGAGAAAAGGTTTATTTAGTCTCAGTCCAAGGTTGATTGGGTGACTCCTTTGCTTTGGGCCTCTGATTGGGGCACTTAATGGTAATAGTAGAAAGTATGCATTAGAGCAAACTGCTCACACCTGTCTAGAGTTTAAGAGTGATGGGGTTACTTATCAGAATTACCTAGGGGATTTTCTCCCCAAATGCATGGAACCCATCACAAACTACTAAAGCAGGGCTTCTCAAACTCAGGTGGACACAGGGAATCAAATGACTTCACCAGGTGATTTCATAGGACTCAGGTCTGGGGAGCACTGCACTACATGGGAACCTCTGCAGATGCGACCAACCAATGGGCAGGGAAGTACCTTCAGTGATTCTGGGCATATCTCTGCCTGAAAAGCACTTGTTCAGAGCAGCATTCTCAACCAGGCCACCCTGTAAAATCACCGGCGACTTAAAGAAAGAAAGGAAGGAAAAAACAGGAAGAAAGGAAGGGAGGGAAAGAAAAGAGAAGAGTGAACTATAAAAATGAGAAGCATGAGGGACTGGAGGAGATGGGTGATAACATAGATGTTTTTATTACATAGCTATAGGTTATATGACTATGCTATGTATATATCAAAATTTACAACTGCACACAAAATTAATGATTTTTTACTCTATAATTAATTTTTTTCAAATAAAACTTTAGTAAAAACGTATTTATTAAAAATAAAGCCACTCTTTAGATTCTGATTTGCTATAGCAGAGATGGGGCCAGCCCTGTACCCATGTAAATGTATATTAATATCCCAAGTGATTCTAATGTATGGCTAGAGTTGAGAAAATCACTGAGATGCAGTGCCGTGCATACTTCAGTATTCTACATGTAAACCTCTGACAATTTGTTAACATGAAGATTTTGATTTAGAAAGTCTGCAAAGGGGAACAAAATTATGCTTTTCTAACAAACTGCTGGGTGATGCCGATGCTTCTAGAAAATATTAGAAATGCGGAATCTCAAGGCACCACCCTGATCATTAGCATCAAAATCTGCATTTTAGCAAAATCCCCAGATGATTTGTAAGCACAGCCAAGTTGGAGAAGAACTGTTCTAGACTTCCTATGATCTGACAACATTGGTGCTTGAAGGATCAAAGGGCCAAATCCCTGGGGCAGGACCTGTCAGATAACACAGTTGTTAACATAATGTGGGGACACACCTGCAGTACATCCACCTCATCTTAGACTTTTCTCCAAACCACTCACCAATCCTCCCATCAGAATAAAATCTCCCTGTGTGCAAATACAATATGACTCATTTTTATATCCCCAACAGTAGAATGTCTTGCACACAGAAGGCTCTCAAAAAATGTTTCCTAAATTTTGCTGAACAGAATTTCACTTCAGATGGCAAAAAGTAGAAATTTATTTTTCCTCTTAATATTATAAACCTCTTTGGCCACATTCAAGGCAAACTTGGTGTCAGAGAAACTCTAATTACACATGTCAACTGTAAAAATTAACAGGGGAGCTCTTAAAACTGCTGCCCAAGACAGTTACATGGTTCCAGTGGAGTCAGGTCTCTCCCATGCCTCTCAGGACACCCTTCAAGGATCGCTTTTTAAAGAATAGAATGGTATTTGTTAAATATCTAGAGTCTTGACATGAAAATTTTGTAATTTATTATTTTAACTGTCTTCCGAAAGGATCAAGACTGGAAACCGTTGCACCCTGGGGACCCCACCTTTGTGACTCTTGATGGAAAAACTATCCTGTTGGGTGGAGACTGTACCGTGTACCCTGTGTTTGTGAACGAGGCTGCTTATTACGAAAAGAAAGAAGCTTTCGCAAAGACAACAAAAGTCACTCTCAATGCAAAAAGTATTCGCTCCTCTTTCCACTAGAAATCAGTGCTAGTTCACTTTTTGGGGGGCATCTTGAAAAAGGACCAGTCTGTACGCTCCTCAAGAACAGAATTGTGCCTTATTCAAGTTCATGATCTGAACTTGACCCAGTCCTGACCCAGTCCCCAAGCAACAGGCATTCACACCAGTGTCTTAAAGAAAAAAAATAAATTAATGAATATCTTTTAAAGTTATCATATTTTATGTAGATAGCTTCTTCAAAGAAGTGTGCTTCCTATTTCTGCATAGATTTTTATACATTTACACTCTGATAGTTTAACATTCTTAAAAATAGCCTTCTTTTTCAAAGTACAAAAGACATAGGTACTATGTGCAGAGTTATTAACTTGAACATGGCATGAAATGTGTGTTTTCAAGTAATTTTTGTTTGTTTTTGTGGTGCTGGGGATTGAACCCAAGGCCCTGTGTATTCGAGGCAAGCACTCTACCAGCTGAGCCATATCCCCAGCTCAAGTAATTTTTAAGTGCTACTAGAAATTAAAGGTGGAGACTATTTTTTAAATTTTTCATGATTGAGTTAATGACACTATATTAAGAATTCAGTCCATAAACTAGCAACAATTGTGATATCCATAGTAGATTTTAGCTGCTCTTTTTCAGATGACATGTTGAAGAGAAATGAAAGCTGATTGTAAATATACATCTAGAAACACTGATGTCTTACACTCACCTTGAGAAGCTACTTGTCCTTCTCATCATAGACAATTAGGAAGAGGCAAATTCCTCTCATCTGCCACTTCTTGTTTTGAATGAACACTCACTCTTACTCCTAGCCAAAGCGTGAGGAGATCTTTGGACTCCAGTAGCTGCCAGCCTAGGTGGTTAAGACCCATAACGGAGGACAGTGGACGTGGAAATGTGACCCTAATCCATGTCTCTGGTTTGCAAACACACCCTTTCAAGAAATTCTCCCATTTTTTTTTTAAGCTGAAATCCCTCATCTCCTCAAAGGACTTCTGGCAAAACACTGCCTCCCTCCCCTCCCCTCTTTTAGGTCACAGCAACCAAGTAAGGAACAACTTTATCCTACGATTTGAACCCCAAGGAAACACATTTATGGCTTCAAATGTTTTACCAAAAATACTAACATTATCTGGAACTTATATAGATACACAAACATTTTCATTCTTTCAGAGCTAACTCCACTAAGCCAATTTTATTCCATATTCATTGTTTTATAGAGCACAACTAAATGATTTCTGAATTTTGCACTAGAAAAATCATTGTGTGCTTTGCCAAAATTATTTTCCTTGGAATAAACTTCCTTCTGAAGGTTGTAGTAAAAATGTGTCGATCTTTTTTAGCACGTAAGTTTTACCAAGTGTCCTTCTCCCTCTATGACAAACGTTCTGTTATGTTTTATCTTAGGCCAAATCCTCAGGGTCAGTTTTTCCAGATGTAAATTTTGGCAAGGAAACTTTATCCTTCCATTGAGTTTCAGTTATTTATGTAATTTATAATGTGCCATTTAGGTCATTGTGGTTTCAGTTTGGGGGATTCATTATTTCTATTGAGCGTAATATTTCCTGACTCAATTATTATTGTCTTCATTGTTTCTAATTAGATGTGATTTTTTTTTCTTAATCTACAACACATGGCTGTGTAGTTTTATTATTTTCAGTTTTATTTTTATTATTTCTAACTATCTGCCAGCTTCATTTTCTTATGTATAAAGGGGGGTGAGGGCTGGGGATGTGGCTCAAGTGATAGCGCGCTTGCCTGGCATGCGTGCGGCCTGGGTTCGATCCTCAGCACCACATACAAATAAACATGTTGTGTCTGCCGAAAACTAAAAAATAAATATTAAAATTCTCTCTCTCTCTCTCAAAAAATAAAAATAAAAAGTGGGGGTGATAACAATAGTAATGCTTCTACTATGGGGTTACTGAGGATTAAGCAAGTTAATGCATGTGAGCACTTAGCTCAGTGCCCAGCACTTAGTTCAAACATAGCACAAAAGACCCTTTGTGAGCTGCTCCCTCCCCCACAACCTCTCTAGACTCATCTCCATTCCCATTCTCTCTGTTCCAAGGCTCTTGTGTTGTTTTATTCCTGAACACCTTCATCCAAACTGATTCTTCCCCCTAAAATTTTCTCCCAACTTCATGCATATCATACACACACACATACACACCTACCCCAGGCCTTGCTCTAGCTAATTCCTGTGTTTCCTTCCAAATGCAACTCAACTCTCATTTTAGATATGAAGCCTTCATCTCTATCTGACTTAGTTGCCCCATTTGCCCATCCTTCCATCTATGCCATCTCAAGGACATTAACAGAGTCTTTTTCAGACTGCAATCTATTAAATGCCTAATAAAGGTTAGTTGAATAAATGAGTGAGCCCAAATGCCCTTCTCTACCTAAACATCTCCACATTCCACCAATCTCCCTCCTTCTTTTTTCCTTCTTTCTCAGTCACTTCCTGGGTCATCTTAATACCTCTCTTGAGGGAAACTCACTCCATTCTACACTCTTCAGACTGTTACTATATCTCAAAGGACAGCAGGAGAAAAATAGTAGTAATAAAACACACTTTTAAGCCTACAATCCCATCAGATTAAACAGGGAAATGTTCCCACTCAGTAGTTACCCCATGTGAGACATTTTGGTGGCTTCTCCTTACCCTTGAAATGAAGTGTCAAAGCTTCACCTTGATGGGACAAGCCCTACATGCTCTGAGCATGGCCACCCCTCCAGCATCATCTCATGTCACTTGGCTCCTTGCTCCAGCAGTTGGGCCACACAGGCTTGATTCTCCAGACCTCAGATGCATCAAGCTCCTTACTACCTGGGGGTCTTTGCCCATGTGTTTTCACTTCTTGAAAGTCTGCCTCACCCTCTCATCCCTTGACTCAGATGACACTTGTCCTCAGTGTAACACGGCCTAGGTTAGGCCCCTCTGTTACACAAACACACTTATATCAGACTAGCACATACCACAACTCCAAAAGTACTAATTTATGAGATTGGTGTAGAAGACAGTTAAATGTGTGTCCCTTTACTTAAACTGCAAAAGCTCTAAGGGAGCAGGGAGAGTGTCTTGTTCTTTGAAGTATCCATAACTTTGAATACATTTCTTACCACATAGAAGTCAATCAGTCTTGTTGGATACATGAGATTGATCTGATGAGTGAAACCATCCCAGAAGGCTTCCTCAGAAGAGCAGATTGACTTAGAGACCACAGAAGATGACCCTGGAGACCACTAGATGCCACTGGGGCAGGAATGGTGAACCACATACAGTTACTGCTCCAATAGGAAGAGCAAGTGGGAAGGGGCAGTGGGGAAACTCTGAAGACCGAGATGACCAAGGCCATGGTGCTGGAAGAGGAGCCTACAAGCCCTGGGGGCACCAGGCGAACTGGACCAGGGTACATCTGCAAGGCCTGCATTTGCAAACCCCATGCAGACACAGTCTGAAGGGAAGTGACTGCTTAGGGACTCCCCAAACCTTTTACTATTTCTGTATTTCCACATATATTGCCATCAAGAGACTCATAACTTACCCACAGAGACCTTCTTTTTTTTACCCCAACACAGACACATGAAGTCCAGCACTGGGCAGATAGTAGTTCCTTAATACATCAGATCAATGACTTGGAAGCTCTCTATGGAGTATTTCACCCAGGGCTGCCACATAAGGCTTCCTGGGTCACACAGGACACAACTCCAGGGAAGCAGGGCTGTAATCCCCTAAACTGCAAAGTGAATGGCACAGCACAGGATTTTATGCCCCATCAAACTGAAAAACAGAATTGGTATTTCTTCTTTGGGCTGAGAAAAAGAACAGGGACTTGGTCAGTAATGTAAAATCCCCCTCAAAAACAGTGGGGTCTATAGGTGATTGCTATGATTAACATATAATTAATATAAAGTGAAATTTAGAAAGAAAAATATTAAAGCCACAATAGCTAAATATCATTTTAAAAATTTATGATATTTAATGTGACACAGGCTGGGTTAGGCCCTAAATATCATAAAGGCCCATTTTAGAAAATAAATCTATTAAATGGAGAAATAAATTTTACCATCATGAAATAGCATAAGACATCTCAAGGAAGTAGAGAGCATCCCCTGACAGGATATTTCAATGCTGTGAGTATGAATGCAGATAAATTTGTAGGTTTGGTGGTCAAAAGCTGAAGGTGTTTCCATCTGATGGCTTCTAGTTTCACTACTAAGTTGGAGATTTTTGTAAACTACCTACAAGTATTTAAAGAGAAATGATGGGGTAAAGAATGACAGCTTTGAAATAACTACTGGAAAATATAACAGAACTGATGAAGGAACTAGAGTAACCACTGGGGTATTGTAAGGATTAAATAAGACTCTGTAGGTAAAATGCATGGCATGTTGTAGGCACTCAATGTTCACGTCCTTCCCTCTCCTTCCACCACTTTTAGTGGAAGAAATTTTCTCATTCATATTTGTCTCTTCTATCATTGTGCATACTGGATGTCTAATTTTTGTTGAATCGGTTGTAAGTCCTCACACACAGCAGGTGAGATACATTTTTTGGAATTGCACTGGATTCCATCCTTTCTGCAGAATATTGCTGCTATTGTCAGAGAAGTGGCCTGATGCAGTAAAAAAAATGGTTCTTTTTAAAAAATATTTCTTTAGTTGTCAATGGATTTGATTTTATTTATTTATATGCAGTGCTGAGAATCAAACCCAAATCAAATCATACATGCTAGGCAAGCGCTCTACCACTGAGCCACAACCCCAGCCCAAGTGGTCTCTCTTGATACCAGCCTAACTAAACTTTATAGACCTTGGATCCTCAGGCCAGGAAAAAGCATGATGACCTTTGCATTTCATGCCATTTACTCCAGAACTCAATTTCTCCACCAATTAAACTGGGATATAATACTGAACCTATAAAACTATCCTTTTAAGATAACACAAAGGCTGAAAAAAACTGCTGTGACCATTTTGGCAGTTAATTTTTCACAATCTCACATGCCATAAAAATG